GAGCCGAAGGGTCTGTCCTTAAAAGGCAGTTTTTCCTTCCTATGAATTGGCGCTTTACAAATAAAATTTAATTGAATTGAAAATTTAATTGAATTAAAGAGTGAGAGTTGGTGGGGCTCAATTTAGCAGTCTCACAGCCTGAGGAAAGAAGCTGTTCTGTAGTCTGGTGGTATGGCAGCCGCATGACGCTGGCGTAGCTAAAATCCCATTCATTTTGATTGAGCTTATATGAAATGACTCCTGACTGTGGCTGTAAACTGCATTCTTTTTCCATTTTTAGTACAGCAAATTTCCAAAATGCCATTCTCCTGACAGACCTGCATACTGAACGTGAGGAGCAGAGTGTCACACCTCAAAACCGGCAGGCAATCCAAGCAGTGAGGGGAGGTCAGTGGTCAAATGTTTTTGTGACCCCTATGAGGCACATTAATAATACATTGATAATACATTCAGACACCAACACCCACGCACTTTCACTTAAAAGCAGCCAAAAAAAGCATGTTCCAAATTTCTTTCATGGTAATAAAATGAGACATCTGGTTGAATTAAATGGACGTTTGCAGTAAATGTTTATGGCAGAAATGAAAAGTGGCCACTGGTTGATGTCACCATATCCATGTTTCAGGGGGCTGACATTCCCAGAATGCAGCTCTGCACAGCTGACTATACATCAGGAGGCGTGAGCTTCAGAGTGTGAGCCTTCCACAAAACGTGAAACTCAAATAACACATGACAGCATTGATCCAATTCAGGCAGACCACAGCAGGAAGCCAAATGATCTCTGACTTTCAAACCCCCATTAAGTCATATTTTAGACCTGCAAGCAGTGAAGCCTCAGACTAAAGATGTCTGTCAGACACTCTTGCTCAGAGTGAAACATCTAGAAAAGTACTGATCGGATTATTTTGTGGATATCTATGATCCCCAGTGGATGATGGTGCAATGTAGTGGACTGTATTGGGACTGGGATCCTGTGTGTCCCATAAATCTCACAGGAGTGGGTGGGAGTGGGCGGGAGTGGTTGGTCAAAAAAAGACTTTGGGTCATGGGTTTTACTGACACAACACAGTAACACAACATCTTTTCACCAGCAGGACTGCCAAAGAATACAATCTCTATGGTGCGGACACAAATGGTCAGAATGGTTGCACACACATAGCAGGGGTGGGCAGTAATGGTCAGAAATCCAGGAGCAGGATTAAGAAAACATTTCCCCACATGGTTTTAGTGTAATGTGAGATTGAACTGTTCAACATTCAAAAATGATCTAAAATGATCAACAGAATAAAAGAAAGAACAGTTTTGATGTCAAAGTGTCTTATGTTTCAGAGTTATCTAGTGAAGTTAGCATGCTAACCAACAGCTCCATCCTGCCCTGTCTCGAAGTATATATACGATAGATTAGATAAGATAGATAGATAGATAGATAATAGATAGATAGATTTATTATCCTAAAGGGAAATTGGGTCATCATAGCAGCCAGGTACATTTAAATACAATTGAATAAAATACAATACATCAAAGGCAATAGTCGGATAGTATATATTAAACTACTTCTTTTAATTCTAAAAAATCAACAAAAAGTCAAGAAAGGAAATATATATTCTATTTTTCTTATCCAACAGATAAAACATTCTGGCTCTATATGCTGCTCTCCCGTCCCTGGCTGATCCACTGATTCCCCCCCTTGGCATCCTTAGATGCACAAGTTAACTAGCTAACATTAGCTACCGTTCAGTATCAGTGCTTACTTTAGCAACAAGTAAAGCTATCTGTCCATCAGGAAAATCTGTAAATCACCAAGACTGGAAGCAGAGCCGGATGCCAGGGGTGCCAGGAGCTAACCCCGGCAAGAAAACCACCTCGGTTCTGTATTCCCTGTAGATAACCATGCCCCGTTCATTTGAGTATAACAGATGGAAATTAAAAGAGCTGGGAAGTGAATGTGACATTAGAAAATAAAAGTCCCCTGAAATAAATAAGCAGTGTAGAAAAACATCTTTTTACAAATTGACATATACATTATATTTATATTTATATTTTTCTATACATTTATTACCTCATTTATTCATTTCAGGATTTATTTCATATTCATATTTATATATGTTTTTCTTCATATTGACTATAATGGCATTCCATACAGATTGGAGTGACCACTAACAGTAATGTTGGAAGCATGTGTGTAGAGAAGGCAAGGGATCTCCCTCTGTGTGTGTGTGTTTGTGTGTGTGTGTGTAAGGGAGTGTGTGTGTGGTGGGTGTTATATTTTTAGTTAGGACAGCCCCTCAAACATCTAACAGCAGGTTAATGAATCTTGGCGTGACAGCAGCTATATAGGAGCTGAGCTGCCTGCAGCGCCTTAACACAGATGATCACGACTATAAGGTACATCACCTCCACCTCTGCAAGGAAATGACAAATATTATCAGTGTCCAGAAATGTGAATATAATAATAATCCTTCAGAGCTTTCTTTATCTTTTTTATCTGTGTGTGCAGGAAATTTAAAGCTATTTGAAGCAAGGAGTTTAAAGCAGTTTGAAGATGTCTAGTGAGAAGAACCCAGAAGTGGTCGGCTGCGACGCCTCCATCATGAAGAACGTCTGGGAGATCAGAGCGAGAGAGTATGGACAGAAGATGCAGCAGGAGCAGGAACGCATAGAGAAGAGCGCTCTGCCCTCGTAAGGACTGAAACTGTACATCTATCTGTGTGTGTGCACTGGCTGTCTGCATGACCTTAAAAAGTCTGTTAAAATATACACCCAGTTTCTATCTTAATTTCCATATAAACTAAACTACTACTGAACAGTGTAACTCTCTGATAGACTGTTTTTGCACATCTAACTGTTTTTATTTCTTTATAAAATTGAACACTGGAGCACTCTCCTTACTGCAGTACGTAACTTATAAAAATATAATTTTTTCATATTTGCTGAAACTTTAACTATATTCTGACAGTAGTACATAAAAAAATCAGGCCCCGTGACTCCTCCTACTGCTCCTAAGGCCTTTAAAACAGTTTACATAACCCTTATGGCATACTGTATGGCAACTGAGTGTATGATTGGGTGTTGATGAAGGAAGTGGGACACTGTGGACTGCTGCTGGACAGGGAGGGACTGACAGGTTCTGGAGTTACAGCGGAGGTTAATTACTGAAATGCTGACCGAGTTGTCACAAACAAATGATCTTTTGTTTCTCTGCCCAAAAGTTTATCTTATCTTCTTATATGAATGGAAGTGTTTCTGCGATCACAGATTAATAACAAATACAATTCTAACATTTGAAGAGGTGATAATGAAAGTGTAATGGATGGGAAACCTGATCCATCAGCACACTGAAAGGTTAGCAGTTAACACCAACACCAGACCTCGGACATGAGACATGCACAAGAATGGATTATATGTCGCAACCCTTTGGATAGCTGAACAGATTTAATAGGAGGCGTAATGACTAGCTAAACAAAGTGACACACATATATATACACACACCACATATATATATATATATATATATATTACAGTGGACACTGAACACTGAGGGAGGGAAGCTCAGTGTAGAGTTACTGTGCATCAGATAGCAAATATAAAATTGCATCACGGAGTTCTGTGCATACATGTCAATCTGTAATCTGCACAGATTGCATTATATTAAATGTTAAACTCACATCAAAAGCACAAGCACTCAACATTTAAGCAACATTTTTATGTCTTAGTATGTTCATTTGCTACTTAAAGTAACTCCTACCCATTTTCTAAAGCTAGAAATTAGTTGATGGATTGATTTCCTGCCTTCCAGACAGCCATTCAACCAAGTTCATCACAACTGTTGACAGAAAATTAAAAGTCGGGAGAATGACTATATAAATATATAATTTATATAAGAGTTCATATATATGCTCATACCATTGCCTTCCCCAGGAGAAGAGTTTTTTTTTTCAAAATATGCCCAAACTTTGCTTTGAAAGCAACCTTTATGTAAATGTAAATGGAAACGTATTCTGAATGGTGGTTGTTCTTAGCAAGGTTTTTGATGTGTTCATCTTCTGTTCCATATATTGATGACACAACATGGATGAGCAAGAAAAAAATAAACAAGAAAATATATCAATTGTACATGCATCTCAGTAAAGTATCTGCTGCACTGGCAGCTATCCAGTCAAAATGTAAGAATTTGTTAGAAAAATGTAACCCATGGGGGAAAGTTTTACATGCATTTACATAACTAGCTTTGATGCTTTCCTCAGAATGTTACAACAAAATCTAATTTATAGATACTTGTCCTCTAGGAAAGGAAAAGGAAATGAAAATGCTTCATAAAGGGGCCATTTAACAGAGGAAGAGAAAAAAGAGTCAGATATGAATGTATTTTGGTATTGTAAGGAAGTGGCATAGTTTTGGTTTAATGTTGAAAAATGGATCTCTGCTCACAACTCAAGTTTTTATAGCTGTCCTTTGACCATAATGCTTCAGGATTTAAGGGATGATGAAGAAGGAAGACATCAAATGGTCAGAAATGGTTCTGAAGCATCAGTGAAAAGGTTGTTAATTGGAATAAATAACAGAATTTAATTTGATAACGGTCAATTAGAGGGATGGAAATATTTTAGTTTTTGTTGTCTGTGCATTGAAAAATGATATGTGTGTATGTAAATGGTTAGACATCATACATGTATACGTACCGTAAAACTTCTAATAGCCCGGGCATTTATTTGCTTAAATCACTGAACACGGCCTGCCTTTATTGCAGACGTGTGTCTATTAGAGACAGGCGTTTAATTAATTTAAATTTTATTTTTAAATTAATTTTTTATTTATTTATTTATTTTTTTTAAATTAATTTTATTTTTAAATTTATTTGTAAAATAAATAAAAATTAAGATATCAAACAACATATGAATTACGAATCATTCACTTAATCTAGCTCTGAGATCTAGGCCAACCTTGTGTGCAGAGCGAGAGAGAGAGAGAAAGAGAGAGAGAGCAAATGCAGCCTTTCTTAGAAGAATGAAAGTTGAAGGTTTTACCATAGTTGTGGTATTTTTATTTTTATTTGCACAGGTTTTAACAAATCAGTTGTGCATGTAAAAACAAAAAAAATCAGGTAGACCACAATGCATTTTAAATGAATATTAAATTACTAAATTACTATTACTAAAATCTTTAGGTACTGTATTTGCATTGTTTAACAAACTTCATAGCCTACCTAAAAATGGGAACTAAAAGAACATGAAGCCTATTGGTAAAAATATGGTAACACTGTAGACCAATGGCTAATCAATAATAGCCAAATCCTGGCTACATGGTTGATCAGAACACATCAAAATCAAACAAAGAAAAAACATTAATAAAGGCTACAATGTACTGTGTGTCAAAGTTTATATGTCCTCATTATCGTCATCCTCAACTACCAGTTCGTTGTTAAACTCTTTCTCATCATCGCCCTTCTCTTCCTCTCCCTCTCCAACTTCAACCAGCTCTCCCTGTCTTGCCTGAGAGCCATGGTTATGTTGTAGCCCCGCTTGAGCTCCGCTTTGGTGGCAGCGCTGATGTGACATCGATGAGAATCCAAGACTAGCAGACGAGGACTGCAGTTTACTTTTCTCAGCCAGTCTGCAGTCAAATCCTCATTCATCCAGCCATTTGTGGAGGATGCTACCACCACTCCACTGATGTTTTGCATTGCATTGACTTCCCTAACACTCCCTTTGAACACCACATAAGGCTTCAGTTTTGTCCTGTCCGCTTTTGCAGCAAGCACCTTGGTTAAGTGACTCTTCTCGTGGCCCGTAGTTTTCAGTGGAACACTACGCGCACCTCTCATATCCACCATAGTCGAGGCAACCATATCAAACCAGACAGCTGACTCATCCATAGTTATGATCTTTCTCTCCTCAATCAAACGCGTCAAAATTCACCAGCTTCCCGTTGAAGTGCCTGGCGTCTTTCTGAGTTGTAGGTCTTCTGTTATTATAAGTTATTGCGGTGGAGAAATGTATCAAGCCAGCCAGAACTAGCAGCAAAGACGTTGACATAATTTCTGTCACGCACGGTGGCATGGATTTCTTTAGCCTTCTTCCTGATCATCTTGCAGGAAACTCTGAGGTGTCTTGACCGCATGCTGTGGATCCACTCACACACTTGTAGCTCCAGCTCTTCAAAGTCTGGCCCTTTACTGTCAAACAGACGCCATTCTCTGACTCGTTTTGGATAAACAGAGAAATGTCTTGCTGCTGCTTCTCCTGACTTTTTTCTCTGTGCGGCCGCCATGACACTCAAACGTGAAAATCGTTTTATGGCACATGATAGTATTCACAACTTGTCTCTCTTGTTTACCATGTTACCTGTAAGTCTGAATGAATTGTGCATTAGTGTTCATAGTTTCTGTAAAATGAATTGAATGACTGAACTGTGGAGGATCTAACTGAACTGTGCATTATATCCATATTGACAGAAGTTTAAATGTTAACCGTATATTTGAATAGGCGATCTAAACGGCTCAAAAATCGCTCAAGAGGGCGACCCGGTACGTTTTAAGAGGTCCATTCAGTCAATTCTCCTCCAATTTGTAATTGATAGAAAAACTGTTTCTCTCAAATGCAAACTTATAAAAAAACACTAAAAACTCAATTATTCATGCTCAAACCAATTTCAAAATAAATTTATCCACAGCAATTTGAAGTTGGAAATTTCAAATCACATAGATTTTATAATACATTTGAAATTAGCCGTTTATACTTTTACTCACATAGATTTAAACTAGTGTTTTCACTTGAGTAAAATAACATTAAATTTACATAAGCAGGAGTCATGCATTCTCCACAACATGGTCTATTGACCTACAAGCAAGTATCAATGTATCAATCTGTAACATTACCCGACCCTGCACAGTGTCCCCACCAGCCTAAATATAAACAGTGCTGTCATATATGCATCCTCTGTGGAAATCAATACATCACATGTACTGTAACCTAGCGATAAACTCTACCTTTGTAGTACGGTACAGCTATCACAACATACACACAATATATGGGGGAGTGACAAATATTAACTCATAAAAGCCAAGACAGATGACAATATCTTTCTCTCTGTTGATATGGGGATGTAAGTCCATTGTTCTGGACCTGTATTGGCAACATATCCTTATGTAATACTTATATTAAACAATAATCACTTAAGCAGAGAATAGCTGTTACTTTCTTCTGCAAAAATTAGGTCACCCTTATGAGGTAACTTTTCATTATGTCTGTGAGAGATGTTGTCCCTGTATGTATTTATATTTACTGCAGGCATTCTGCAGGCTTTTAATACTGTTTGTTTTTTCCACAGTATTAACAAGGACTGGGAAGGTCGTTTGCAAGCCAGTTTTGGAAACTACAAAAGGGTGGAGAGGAAAACTAAACCTGCTGAAGATCAGACAGACAACAAGAATGTGTGGAAGAGCAAGAAACCCCAGGCTCCTCCTACCCCTCGCCGTGGCGCAGGTTCAGGGCCACTCGGCAGACAAGGAGACCAGAAAAGGGGCTTCTCCACTCCAGCCCCCAACTACAAGGACAAAAAGGGGCAGAACAAGAATTTAAACAGGCTCATGTTCCTCACCCAGACTCAACCTTCTGCTATGGTATGGGGGAAGTCTTGGAAGTATAACAAATCATTGCCACCACCAGAAGATGGTGCTGCAGCGCCATCAGATTGGGGCAAGTGCTGGATGTTTGCTACCCATCAGCCTTACTTTGAACCAGGCAAACCTTGGTTAAATGGGCCTAACATGCTGGATCCTCAAAGCCTTCATCTCTGTAAGAAACCTGAATACAGAATGGTGGAATCACAAGAGCTAGACTTGTGTCTTCCAACTGAGGAGTGGCAGATGTCCTGGAGAAAATTTGACAAAAACAGTAAGAAGGGAGATTCTGGAGAGAACGATCCCAAATTTGGAATCTTCACCATGTTGGTGGAGACTCAGCACCACAATGAAGTCTTGTGCTCATCAGAGTGGAGCGACTCATGGTCATCAACCAAGCCAGCAAGTCAGCAGGATAATATTATCATCCAAAATGATGGTCTACTAAATAAGTCTATTTCTAACAAGCAAGATAATAATGCAGAGATGAGCCCTGAGTGGGAAGAATGTTGGAGGCTTGTCAACCACCATGGCTGCAACAACTTCAATTTGCCTCAAGTTCAAAAGTGTCACAGTCCAGAGTGGGCTGATTCGTGGAGAGCAGCCATGGTGGTCTTAAACAACCACAAGAATTCTGATCCCTCTCTGAGCCAGGATTACAGTGGCACCTGTGATGATCACGGCCAGCAGAAAGAGTCACATCTGCACAAAAAAATGCTTAAGTCTCATGAACAGAAGTACAGAGATCTGTACTCGAAGCTCTACAATGAATTTAAGGGTCTCTCTGAGTGGAGCAAGTCATGGCAGGTAAACAAAAACAACTCTAAACCGTGTGAAGAAATAGAGAAAGCCCTAAATGTCTCACCACCAAAGATGGAAACTGATCTGGAGGCGCAGAATGTGGAAAATGATGCAAAGGGGCATTATTCAACATCAGAGAAAGTTGACCCACGCTATGAGCAACTGAGACATAGCGTAATATATCACTCAAGGAGAGAATTCACTCAATCTCACCAGCTTCATCTGAAACACTTGGAAAATGTCTTATCTGCCCCAGAATGGAAGGACTCTTGGAAAACACTGAAACACAGAATGAGAATGGAGAGAAGAAGAATGAGGCCGGACCCCTCAAGGCCTTTCAGAGCATCTGAGAAGGGAGGAGACAGGAAGCCCACTGCATCAGAGTGGAAAAACTCATGGAAATTCACCTGTCAGCCTCTGCGTCAGGAGCCTGAACATTGGCAGCAGGGTTGGTCCACCATGCCCCAAATCCGAGTAGATCGTGTGTGGGACCAGAACCACTTTGCACCTGTCGAACACCCCAAGAATGGACCAACCGTGGAGCGAAATTGGGGAGAATCATGGAGGTTCTCGAGGGTCCAGCACCGATCAGAACTTGGGCAGGATGGGGCACAAACCAGCCAAGGAAGATCAAGTGTTGCTTCTCAATTTACTGAAAATTCACAGACACACAGGTCATCTGGACAAACACGTCATGCTAGGTCAGGTTCTGATTGGCAGGATGCCTGGATGGTCTCAGAAACCCAGTTCCACCATGACAAACCCTCTTTAACCCAGTGGAGGGAAGCCTGGAGGTGTTCTGTCTTCAACACAGCGCATTGGACTGAACAGGTGCCTAGAGAGAAAAGAGTGGATGTGATGATGGCGATCCAACCCCAGAGAGAGAAATTGTCCTTTCATAGAGCCAACGCTAAAATTAGCAGATCTTTTGACAACCAGATATTCAGAGAAAGATATCCTGAGAAACAGTGGAGCGCCTCATGGAGAGCTGGGAAAAGCATGGGCAGCAGTACTCAGCAGCAACATGGCATTCCTAATGAGTATGGATCTAAGTGGGGAATGTCATTCAGGCTCGCCAACCCCATGCCTCACATGGAGCAGCCCTGGGTGGAGTCCTCTCCTAACCCATGTTACTATAGAGTAATGTGGTCAAGAGGAAAGAAAGTACAAAACAACATCAACACCAATTTCAGCAACAACCCTTCAACTTTCAGGCTTTGGGGAAATTCTTATTGTTTCTTGCAGGGGGCCCGTGGACAGATGAAAAATAAATCTATGTCTAAACCCATTGATCCTAGGGTGATTATGACAAAAAATACTAAAACAAGGAAGCATTTGTACTCCACCATTGAGAAAGAGAAACAATCAGACAGGAAATGGTTAGGATGCCACCTGTTGGGTAAAACCCAACCACGTCCCAAGAAAGGCCCTGCTTCAGGAAAAAAGCTTAAGATGGATGACAAAAACAAAGACAAATTCTTTGAAGAGTGGGCAGAATCTTGGAGATTTTTGGTGTGTCCTCGTAGCCTGAAAAAACAGATGCCCGGGATGTCACTCTCAGGTTGGGAGGAGTCATGGAAGTTCCTTCTTCCACCCTACCAGCCGATGAATGGCCCCAAGGCCAGATAAAAGGCATTGCTCAGTCAAATTTTTCTTCAAACTTTAAACAGCGGACAACCTGAAGTAGTAAACACTGCATATACAAACCATGTCAATAAATAAAAATAAATAAATGCTGTACCACTTGCAGTATTTCTTTTCTTTTTTTCCCACTAGTTGAGAATTTATTTGTGCGTCAAGTGAGAGTCAACAAAGGCAGCATTGCAATTATAAGCTAACTCATTTGTATGTTAGAACATTAGCTTTCTATTGAGATATATATATAATACATTTCTCATCTGGACTGTGAATGTTCATTTTGGAGCAAAAACAATCAACTAACATCATACAGTATAAACACGACAATAACAAGTCTTGTTTAAGAGCACTACAGCAGGTTTGGACGTTTTGTACAAAAAAATAAAAATAAAGACGAGACAAGTTTTAAGAGGGTAACTGTACGTCGAGTTTTGAATTGTAAGTTGAAAAGTTTGCAATGTTTAGTAAATATGGAATGACCACTTATTGATTAAAGGATAAATACATCTGTTACTGTAGTGTGTATTTCTGCACTGTACCACAATAATACACAAATCTTAAAATGATATGGAGGTACATAAGAACTATTAAACGTATTACTTCAAATGATTTACATAATGGTATCTCTAAAAGATTCATACCCTAAATATCCACAGTGATCCGTAGTGTAGCTTAGTGGTTATGGCTGAAAACTTGGTTTCACATTTTTGTGAATGTGTGTGTATTTCTTTATAACACTGAATATTCATGACTAAATAAACAACAATGAAAGTTAATATTTGGAAAAAGCACTATAGGAATTCTGTTAATCTGCTTCTTCAAGACTGGATGGTGTAATTAAAAACAAAAAATTGGTATTTTCAAAATTGCATTTAAAATATCCTTTTGTGGAGTCAAGTGGTTTCAGTTTCAGTCCATAAATTCCTCCACTATCAAACCACTCCATCACTACTATCCCCTCCCCAAACAGTATGGGAGAGAGTGAAAGTACAACTAAAAGACAACAAGTTGAGAATAACTATTTTCCTATTTGCACATTAATTTACTAAAATGCAGAGATGTTGCAGCCAATAGATGGATGAGTTTACTGAATTTTCTTTAAACTACAGCTTAGAAAGTGCACAAGAAAAATGTGAATGTACAATGAAAGAATGAGTAGATGTAATAATGTTGAACAGTATATCTAATGTTGATATATTTGTGTGAGTGACTGAGCTGGCAAGCATGAGGAGTCACAGGCGGATTTTCAAAAGGAGGGTTTATTTCAGCCACAAATGAAACAAGTTACAAAATAAAAGCAAAATACAGAATAAGTAACAATACAAAATTAAACTCAGGTTGAGAGGGTTATTTAAACATGTAATCTAATACAATTACTTACCTTAAATCATTAAACCATTAAAAAAATGTCAGTAACCTCATATCCTCAACATCAAACAGCAAATAAAGAAATATCAATGTATTCTATAAGACAACAGAACAATGTAACCTCGGGAAAGAAAAAGAAAACAAAAGAGGCAGAATAATACTTTCACACTTTGAAGGCATACCTTTGCACTGCACTGTTGTTCCCATTTTCTGCTTTAAAGAAATAGTGGCATTTTTTTATACTAGAGGCCATGATATTGAACTGGCAGCTGTGGTTTCAGTTGTGAGACTCATGAAATGTTGCAATGTGTGTGCACTGCGCATTGTACTATATTGTTCTTTGTAATCCTGCTTATAATCCCCATTTTTACTAAATGGAAATGTGAAATTTGATTGCTGCTTTGTCCTGTAACTGTAATGGATTACAGTTACTTGTTTTTGAATCCTGATTTCATAACACCTTTACATGTAACCCCTTACTCCCCATGCCTGATATATACATACCTGAATAGAACTGAACAGACTGAACTAATTTGGACCACTTTGATAGGTACTGACCACTGCAGACCGGGACACCCCACAAGAGCTGCAGGTTTGGAGATGCTCTGACCCAGTCGTCTAGCCATCACAATGTGGCCCTTGTCAAAGTCGCTCAAATCCTCACGCTGACGATTTTTCCTGCTTCTAACACATCAACTCTGAGGACAAAATGTTCACTTGCTGCCTGATATATCCCACCCACTGACAGGAGCCATGATAACCAGATAATCAGTGTTATTCACTTC